GCAACATGCTTGTGAAAAGGGCGATTTAAGCGTCCTTTAGCAATATGCATATAATAATACATTGTGTGTAGACATTTGTATATCAATGGAAATTTTATTGACTGAAATTAACAGTTAAAAAATCGCAGAAATTTACAGTAATTTTGTTTAAGACAAGGATCATTGAGTGTGCTTACAAAAGACCGCCAGAGGTGAAACAAACAAAGGTCGTTTTCAAAAAATCGTCTTTTAACTAATAGGTCACTTGTATAATACCAACGGAGACAAGTACAACTGTACTAAGGACAAATATTAACGTTGGTCAATGTCCAAGAACCTAGTTGTCCATTTTCGAAAAAGTGAGATTGACCCAAAGTATTTCGATGATGCGTGTCAAGTTTGTCAGCTTTATCTTTCATTTATTGGATTATATTTCATATGTATTACTACGTTGTATTTTCCCCCTTTTCTAAGAAGCATAAAAATCTACATAGACGTCATGTAAAGAACATATTTAAACCGGTGTGAATATATAAAATCATTAAAATGAATGTTGTTTTTTGTAGAAACCCGGTCGAGACTAATCTACATGTCAAAAACACGTCCCTCCCATCCCGATCTTTAGTTGGTGTAATTGTACAAGAGAAAATTAAACATATCAATGACGAAATTTGTGGTTACTCTTACAGATTATTTAGAAGAACAAATATATTTCTAGGCAGTTCGAAATTTGAAGAAGAGTATGCATGGATGCACTGGAAGAAATTACTCCTTTATTTTTCACAAAGCATTTCTCATCTTATAATGTAATAATGGGTTATTTTTTGTGGAGCGATTATTTTAAGTTTTTTTTCGTTAATGTTCACATGATGAATAAGAGTAATAAATATAATTTATGGAAAAAATGTCAAATAATAAATAATCCCGGGGGTCGAATATTGGGGGGGGGTCCTGTCCACATGTACCTGTGTTCTCATGTTTTCCAAGAGTCTTTAACATGAATACACTTTGTTTTATGTAAGACATTAAAGACAAACATCTGAAAAAGTGCAGTAAATACAAACACGTATGGACGAGATGGGGTGCGTTAGTCTGGCTCCCTGGGTCATCCTTGTCAAGACCTAATACTGCACATGTACACAACGTCAACTCTTGTCTGAGACGTATCCTCCAGATTAGATGGCCCGACAAAATAAGTAGCACCAATCTGTGGCAAAGAACCAACAAATCCCATATAAAAGCAGAAATGATGCAGAGAAGGTGGGGGTGGATAGGGCATACTCTACACAAGCCACATAAGAACATCACAAGGCAAGCCAAGGGACAGGAAACCAGACTAGTGGTGTCCCCTCCCCAGTTTTCTTTAAAAATATCACTGTTTTATAATAAGTATGACTGTGATATTTCTATCATGGGAGAGAAACGTCAAGGACCTGTACATGGGTACTGGAAATTCACATACTGACTTCATTGTTTTCATACTAACAAATACTTGCTATGATCGAACGTTTTTTGCTCATTTATTTATTTTTTTTAAAAAGTTTTCCTCTATATAATCTCCAAGGGTACAAATATATGCATTATTTTGTCCCAATTTTAACGCACTTTGAAATTTTTTTTCAAAGTGCGTAATTTTTTCAAAGTGCGTTGCCACAATGCTATTGTATGCATGTACTAGACAAAGTTTATTGTTTCGAAGTATTTGTCACAAAAATATTCATTACTTGTATATTACCATGGGTGATTAAAAAATTGAAAATAAACTAAATTTCGAAATAGTAAATGTAATCCAAGTTTTGTACTTTTAAAATTTTATTGAATTGTTTTTTAAAAAGACGGAATTGAATTTTATACGACTTAAATATTCAGTCTGTTAAATAAGTCGATTTTTCGACTTGTGCTTGGTTGTAAACAACATAACATCCTCTTGAAGGTCAAGTGGTTTTGTGGCATTCGATATACACAATATTTTGGAAATATACTTGACTTCTGTGTAGCTAGATAAAGTTCCTTTTATGCATAAAAAAGTATAAAAAGATGGCTTCTACGAGTTTTTTTTTTTCTACAACTTAAACCATATAATTAATATATTTTTTATTGCATTAACATTTTCATCATCTTTGCAAATCAAAGGATCGATATCATGTGGGGAAAACAGAAAAGAAAATCTTTAATTATAGAGGAGGAAAATATTTTATTTTATGCAACGGCCGTCAGCAAAGCGTAGAAATTGAACAACCCACGTCCACCAAATTTAAATTTAAATCGTATGCATATACAGTGTATGCACGTGTGTTTCACGAATGTTTTTATTTTCGTGAAAAGATTTATTGCATACTATTTAAATAAGTAAATTTTAACTCTTTTCTCGTAATGAATTTATGAAAATAGTTATATCTTGAAATGATAAAGAACCAGCATGTTCACGTGTGACTGCACGTTTTTTTTCTCTCCTTTTTCATAATAGCAGGGTTTTTTTTTTTTATTTTAATTCATTTCATTTTCTTGGCAATATAATAATTCGTGCGCAACATTGATCAACATCAAAAGAATTTTGATAGTTTTACTCCTATAAGACTCGGGTGACAATTTTTGTTTTTATTTGTCATTAAAATGATGATGGAGATCCCGAGAGAAACATGCAGCTATAGAATATAAACTGGTCCTCTCTTGTATTTAATTGCCTACAGCATGTTATGCCTTTTATGAAACACGCCTCTTTTAAGAAATATTGAATGAAAGTTATTACGCACGACCAAAGAAAAAAAATCGAGCATATGAATAAATAGACACACTTGATTGATGACAGGGTCCCACAGGTGACGCACACTTACTGAATTAAAAAAAAATATATGAAAAAACATTTTGTTGCCTAGAAACAAAACTACAAATCAATATGATTTGTTGCAGAGCTAAGCACAATCTTATGATAAGCATGCGAAATGGTTTTAAGGTCTTTGCACCGAGAAATAAAAGCGAAAGTAGAAGTAGCACTTCCTGAAAATTATTTTCTTTTTTATCAAAGACTTTACTAAATGACAACTGCATTTTAAGAAAATTCCCTACTCTTTTTCATTTTCTTTTCTGGAACTATTTATGCTATCTTTTCCTCCTAAAAAAACACACAATGTCCTTTTCAATTTATATTAATGACATTATTATAGGCTAAAACGCTTTTTAGGAAACAGGCACTTTAAAACCACAATCCATTTCATAAAAGTACATTGTAAGGTTATAACATACGCACTGAATTCCTTCAGACACATCATACGATTTCCGGCAACATTTTCTCAAAGACAGATATTTCAAAAAATGATATTGTTTATATATATATCATCTTTTCTTTTAAACTCTTTTTTAAAAAAAAAAAAAGGTTTTAATACATCAATGCATTTTCAAAACTTTTGAAATTCAAAGTTAGCGAGAACTCATTAAATGTTATTTCCTACGGATGCTAATTATCAGCCGTAACTATAGTGCTATTTGGTGCAACGATTTTCAATGAATACAAATTTATATAATTTTTGACCTTGTGATCGGGTCATAACCAGCTCTGCATATATCTTTCCTTGTCATACGAATTCCTCAATTAAAAAAAGTGTTCATTTACGTACACATCACGTACGGTATTAAAATAGACTTGCTCAAGTCTCTATGTTTTTATTGTTTATTTTTTATAAATAGTTTTACAAATTCTTTGTTCTTATTTGTATTGCTGTCCTCTGCTCTCTGTCATAGTTAAATGTTATCAAAATGCTATCTATGTTTGACATTATCAAAAAGTATGAAAGAGAGCACTAAAACATAGAGACTTGAGCAAGTCTAGGTATGAAAAGTACATAGATTTGTGTCTCTATTAAGCACGATCCCAATTTTGGGAGAGGTAACACACCTAGAAAATAAATGTAAAAATTGGACCTGAAAAAGGGCCTGTTGTGCAAGACAACATCCGGATATCATCCTTACTTCCGGTCCCTCGTCCGTTTGCACTTGGGTGTAAATGACGCAACTTGGCCTGATTTTTCAAAAAGTGATAGACTGATATGCGATCGTCTTTTGAAGAAAGTACGGAAGTTTAACTTGCATTCCATGCACGAGAAAATCTATTGTGACAATGAAAACCGCAAAATTCATGTCGTGTGTGAACTTTGCCAATTACTTACAAGTAGTGAATGCACACACCACCACGCAGTTGATATAAATCTGGCGATAGGAAAGATCACGTCAAATAATCAATACATAAAGGTGTATTTTATGAATTTCGTAAGACGAACAGCTGATGTGTCAATTTCGTGGAAATACAATGTAAATAGGTGCAACTTTAATTCTCAATGAACCCTTTGATGACAATACTTATTAGGAAATTATATTTGCCCAGCATGTCTTAAAAACTTCTCTTTCTCTATATCTCATTATTTAGATCTGACAGTTTTGAAAATTTCGGAAGTTATATTTATCAACTTTGATAAATAACATTTTACTTTTCCAAAATATTTATGTACAGTAATGTTTTGAAATTGTTTAATAAATTGCCGCAAACGTGTCACTCTGTCAGATGAGGTTTAAATAAATGAATGGAATGTATATACAGTAGTTAAATTGTAACTCATCTAAATACTAAATCATAGCTAGCATATATTAAATGCTAAATTGCGTTTGTGAATGGAATATTATATATTGTACGAGTATCCAACAAACACCAACGGCAATTCAATATGGAAATTCTCAATTGAAAAAAAAAATATTTGATCAAAATACTGGATTTTTTTTTCAAATAGTGATATGTCATTTTGCATAAGCAATAAATACACGGCACAGGCTAAATTGTTGTGAATCGATTTTTTTTTTAATTTAAAAAAAAAAAATTAAAGCCCCCTGAAATTCCAAAAACATCGACAAGGAAGTTCTTGCATGCAATTTCGTAGATCCCTGTGGGTCATTTAATTCTTTTTCATTTAAATAAAACCCGAATGAACTAAAATAAATCTCAAATCCTTGGTTAAAACACGAACAAGTACATATGGTCTATTTCAAGTTTCTAGTTTAATTATATCATTTCAACAAGTATGGATTATCAACACAAAAAAGCGTCAATAGCACCCGAATTTATAACATAAATGAAAAAAATCAAATAAATAAATTAAATAAATACTGCTACACAAATATCGAGGTAGTTAGTGTTTTATATGTAACCAATGCATATGAAAAACATTGGAGCTGCCATGGTACACGAACATGTGTATTACCCGGTTATTTTAAGAAATAAGTCAATACAAGTCAATGTATATAAGGATATTCCTTCAGATAGTTCTTGATTGGCTTAGGAACGGGTAATTTATCCACATAATTCAACACTTTTGACCTACTCAGAGTTTTCGGTAAACTTCTATTTATTGATAAACGACACAGTTGTTTTAAATCCACCACACAGTTAGATTTAGGTTTTTGTAATACTATTGGTAAATCCTTTCTTCCCGAGCTTTCTAACCAACGACATACATAACTTCGTCCCATGCTGGTCAAACGCGCATAAAAATCCACCAAACGCACCGCACTGTCAAATTTAGGCATTTTTGCACTAATCCTTTCGTCACTGTCCAATTGAAATTGTCCCTTGTGATAAAGAATCCTAACGCTCGTGGTCCCCCTGGATGTTTTGACACTAAGAGAATATAAGTATTTTGGATCCGAACTGTCCCTTATTAAAAATGTTCCCACTGGTTCCTTTCGTAATAAACTTTTGGCCTCCTGACTTGAGAAATTTTCGTAATACCACCCTGTCTGTAGAAGTGAACAAGTAGTACTAATCTGAATCACCATATCCTTTGCACAGTAATAAGCGGGCTCCCTCTCATCTTCTCGAGCTGTGCTACATTCCTTACACTTTCGAGTGTCTTCATTTTTTCCTATTACGGCCACAGTTTTACTTTCATTTGGTCCACTTGTAAAATTGATTGAAGACAAAACTCCTTCTGCCATTAGACATTTGGATTTGGAATAATCCGCTTGACCACGTAATGGGTCATCGCAAATGGTCATGTTATCTGGCAGCCTTTGGATTTCATTATGGGGCTTGCCATTCATAATAGTTATCTTCATCACCGTTACTATTAACTAAATCGGTTTCATAAACGTCTTCTGTAGTAAAGCTAGCAAGCAAATGACCGTCCATTTCACACAACTCCGTTTATCAAGTATAAATACTGATTTCCAAGTATACACTACTATAATATACAATGTCGACATTATTTCCAGAAATCTGCTTAAAGCTCAGTTCCTAGAAAACGTTAGATATCTATTTATAGATTTAGGTGCTTTCCGCCCTCTCATTCTTGCGATAAAGACCCGCGCAGGTCGATAAGAGATATATACACACATACACAAGTTTACTTTATCAGGAATAGCATTTGTTCAATTTTTAAAAAAAAAGCCTATTGATAAATTGTATTGATTTGATGTGTCATGTTTTATCTGTTGTTTTTTGGGGAAAAAATTTGAATGCATCATTTACGCTACGGTGGATTTACCACTTTCAACCCCCCCCTCCCCGCCCCTCTCAAAAATAAGCCAGAGGAAGATTGTAGGTCCCCTTTTGTGTCGGGAATGGGATATAATACCCCCCCCCCCCCTTTACTCCATCGTGCAAAGGGCATGCCGTGCTTGTAAGTCATGACCAAAGTCATAAAGTAATGCATATATACTGTCTTTTTAGAAACTACATTATTTTCTTTTCTTAAAAACAGAACTTTCTTCACCGTTTTAGCTGGTACGCTCGATCCATTCTCCGAAATCTCCAGCAAGCTTAAGATCTTGATTTTGCGAAAACGTTGTCACCTTGCTATCCAAGTTTAATCCACACTATAAAGGTTAAGTTTTTACCAAGTAGGATTTAGACGTATTCATTTACATGTACCTAGCTGTCGCTGAACTGTAACTAATTAAAACAACCTCTCATTACAAATGATGGATTATTAATTATTTTACAAATTCAAAGGGGATTTTTACGACCACAATACATTTATGTAAACTATTACATTTTGCAGAAAACTGCATTTTTATAAAACTTAAAGACAATATTTTTTCTACTGAATTTAAAATCCCTGTGAAAACATTAATATTGTGATTTTTTCCAACCGCCTTGGAAGTGATTTTTTTTTGTTTATTCACAAATATAGTTCGATAACCATCGTTCAAAGGAACTGAAGACCCCCCCCCCAGCACCACCGCCTGAAAAGGGGGGCCGTTAACGTTATGCGTTCTGTACTCCGCTTTCTCAGAAAAATCTATTTATGTCGTAAAAACTTTCAAATAATATGGTTTATCTAGTCACCAATACTTGAATTTATTATTTAATTTTAACAAGTGCACAGTTTTTAAAATTTTTTTTTTTATTTTATATGCGTCATTCTGAAGACTAGAACCTTCTGCAAAAAGCGAGACAACTCTTTTACACCTTTTTTTTATAACATTAAATCAACTAAATAAAAATTTGTCATGTTTATATCAGTATCATTGTATAGATAGAAAAGATCTGGTGAATGCATAATAGCAGAATTTTGAACATCATTGAAAGCTTATCAGTACAATTTCTTAATATTTTAGAAAATTACTATTCACATAATTAAATTTACAACCAAAATAGGTAAAATATATACAGCTTTATTTATAAATAAACTTTTAATCCAGGTATTTTTCTTTTTTTTTTTATTTGTTTGCTTCATCATGAAATCTCTTCTGTTTTTTTTCATTAAAAAATAGACTAATGAATATCATAACCATGACTCAAAAATGACCCTTTGAACTTATTCAGGGCAAGAAAATGTTGTGTAGCATTAATTTTGGGTGAAATATATCCTGGTAAAACATGTTTCTTCTTCTTTTAAAACACATGTCTTAACAGTTTTATGGATGGAATGGCATCAGAAAAGGTTCCATGGAATACCATATTATCTCTCTTAGTGGGTTCTACAAGGTTGCCTTTTGCTTATGCAATAAAAAAAAAATTGCAATATATGTATGGCATATTAGTACTTTGATTACAAAAAAAAAAATAACAAAAGCTTTCAGATATACAGCTGAGATTTTCAAGATACATTCAATGTACACCTTCTTAAATGCAAGAAAAGATAAAGGAACTTCAGGTAAGCTAATTCAATTATTTCATACAATTCTCCTGAACCCCTTTGACTTTTGTCAAAATATTTATAAATAATAATTTTTAAAAAATTTACTCTTGAACAGACACAAAATAGTAATAAAATGTGTCTTTTTTTTTTTTTTACTAACAATTCCTACGACCTTCTTCATGCTTTCAATGCAGTGGTGTATATTCCGAGTAATAGCTTATAATAATTATCCAAGGTTTTTTTAAAAAAAAAAAAAAACAGTCTACAATAAATTTTCTTTCTTGTACCTGCAAAAGTACAAATGTTTTCTGTGTCTAAGACCTGTGACTTACGGTCATAGACCAAAGACTCCTCAGAAAAGACAGAAAATATGGATGTACAATACATGTATTTTTCGTAATTACAGCTAGTTGATGTTTTTTAAAACAGTCGTAAGATACATGTACACAGATAAGGTAAAAGCTCCTATTTTGTGTACATGTGTTAGTTTTTTTTTTTTTTAATCTAAATTTCAGAGAAACAACAAGCATATTTATATTAAATACTAATATTGTATTATAGTTACACATATATATATGCAGCAAACACCACTGTAACCATGCTGAAAAGTAATCAAATTGCTGGATTCAATATGCATTATCTCCTAGCTAGAATTCCTTTGAAACTTTTTTTTTTTACAATTTAATTGATATAGTACATATGCAATTTGCATCTTTCCAGACATATATAAATACTTGTGAATTAATCAATCCAATGAAATCTTTTATTGTAATTATTTTCCGAATAGATCCCACTTTTTCACTGCCTTTTCCCCTTTTTTTCTTTTTTCCTTATGAAATATGCTGTAACAAACAGAACAATGAGAAATGACCTCAGATGTTTTCTGTGCTTTTCTAATAATTACATACTGTATGAACTAATTACACAGTTGAAAATAACAAAATCGACACACATTTGAAATGAAAGGTAAATAAGTCAATTAAAAAAATACTAGCTAATTTATATTGTTTGACACATTTTCCTTTTTTTTTTAAGCACCTTTACTTTGTGTTTCATAAGGAAACATTATCTTACTTGTATTTAATGATTGTTTTATTACCCTAAAAACATGAAAATGACATACAACTGACAAAAATTTTTAAAAAGAAAGAAAAAAACCTGTTTACAAGCAGAACTTTATAAATTTGAATTTCTTCTATGTTATTTTTAAAAACTAATTATACAAACAAAAAAACAAAAATGACTTTTTATACAAGCAAAGAGCAACTCCTAAATCATACTGTGGAATGTATTTCTGATTTTTATTATCTATTTTCCTAGCTCTAATATTAAATTAAAGATCATTTCTCTGTAGATTCTTACTGATACACTGAATACAAATACATAAAAAATACACTCTCAGATGAATAATAATTTGACCAATCACCTCTATTGTTTAATTCTTACATCTAGAATTCTTAATATATTTTTAAGTGAATCTAGAATCTATAGTGTCAAGAGTGATAACTTGTAATATGAATTGTGAACATGGTGAATTGTAAGTATTGATTACAGTTGAACTTCAATATCATGGACACTGATTATAGTGATATCTAGAAAACCCGCATTGCCTGGTACCATGTCAAAGTGATTTTGAAGTCCTAAACCATTACTCTTCACATATTTCAGTATTTTTTCCAGGATACATTATAATCGGAAACCCACTGGTGATCTCGTCTTTACTTATCACCTGTGATCACCCGTGGGTTTCCAATGATGAGGATACTTTAAATCCTTCAATATTTAAGTTTTTGTCTGTTTTGAGTTAGAAATTACAAGTTTTCACTGTATAGAAAACAAAAAAGACTAAAGAGGTAAACTCCTATTCAGTCAAAAATGGTGATCTGCTTTGATGAATTTCACTATGGACAAAAGTTTAACAGATAACAGGCATGGTAACAAAATGGTTTCCTCTCCAAACTAACTTTCAGTCGAGATCAGAAAATTGCAAATAATTCTTCAAGTTCTGAGGTAGAGGCAGTTGACAAATGCTATGATACCCAGGTTCAATATTGCTGATTATGGCCATTCTACATAAATGTTGGAGACTGGGCGTGCTGCTGAGGTAATGCAGGAGAAGTCCGGCCATGTCTTTGGAAGCACTCTGAATATCCCCACCCTTCAGGCTGGTAAAAACCCTGTCTACTTCTTTGTGTATGTTTTGCCATGTGTTTGTTTGCAAAATCAAAGACACAACATCCATATTTCCACTGACCACTAGTTTTTCAAAGACAGAGGGTGATTTCATCATATGGAATGTTCTGGGTCTGTCTGCAAGTTTGGGTGAAGCACCTGCCTTTATAAACATTTTCAGTTTTTCAATCAACTCATTGTGATTTTCTGGTTGATTGACAAATTTTGTTAAAGCTAACTGAAAAGGGGATAGTCCATGAATATTGGTGTGGTCAAGCATTTGACCCTTTTCCACTTTTGCTAGAAGAATTTGCAGACACTTTGGGGAACCCTTATTTACTGCATGGTGGAAAACGCTTAAGGTGGACTTGTCCCTCAGGTTAAGGTCTGATCCTGCATCCACCAACAGTTTGACCACTTCTTCATGACCCTCACTAATGGCCAACATGAGAGGTGTCTGTCCGTAGCTATTTTGAGGATCTATGGATGCCCCCCTCTGTAATAAGAGGCTCACTATGTCAGGTTTTCCCTTCTGTGAGGCACAATGAAGGGGCGTGAGTTTGGCAGCTGAATTTTTGTCTATATTGCAACCCTTGTTCAAAAGTAACTGAACAATCTTTACATTTCCATGAATTGATGCCACATGGAGTGGCTGGTATCCATAGAGATCCTCCACTATGACGGATGCTCCACTCTCAAGAAGTTTTTCCACCATTTCCACATTCCCACACTTGGCTGCTATGTGGAGGGGAGTGGATCCCATGTGGTCTCGGGAGTTTATTGCCCCTTGACTATTTAACTGATGAACTGTATCCATGATGTCTTCCAGAGAGTCTTGTAACATTAATTCATTCATGGGAACATCTCTTCCTATTTGTACTTCCATTGCATTTATTCTGAAAATACAAAAAATACTCCCTTTAATATTCAAATAATCCAGCTGTATAAAGTAAAATAAATTTACAGTGCATTTTACAAAGGTCTAGAGCAAACTGAAAGTGATACTTTTCAGCCAAACAGAGCTGTTACAATAGGATTTTCAACTAAATATAAACAAGAGATGTTTGTGAGCACTAATCCCCAACCTCTCCCCCGGACATACATGAATAGAAAATGCAGAACAGAAAATGTGATTAAATGAAATTTTTTCCGAGTTCAACGAGAATAAACTTGGTAAAAATTGTTTGGTCATATCGTTCTTGAAAAGGATATTCTTATGATTAATCTGTATACTAAATTTCATTTCAATATTATGTGCAACCTCCACAAAGAAAATGAACAGAACATACAAATACTGTTCACAGGAATTATTTTTGAAGTCCAAGAGGCATAACTCTGTTAATTTAAATTGCCTGATCCTAACTCAAGCAGAACTTGACATTGATATTTTTTAAATAAATCTGTATACCAAATTTCATTTCAGTATGTGCATTGTGCAACCACTGTAAAGAAATATGAAAACTGCAAATAATTGGAATTTTTCTATAGGGCATATCTCTGACTCTGTCAAAAATTGTTCGATCTTATCTAAAACAGAACTTGACCTATACATTCTTATGATAAATCTGCATTCTAAATTTCATAAAAGTATGTCCAATTGCTGCAAACAAAATGGACAGAAACTTGGTGGACCGACAGACAGACCTACCAACCCACGAAAGCTGCAAATCAATATGCCCTCCATTCTTTGAAGGAGGGTATTATGAGTTACACAGTTTTTTAGTACCCAAATAATCCTTTATAAAACGGGGTACGGGATGATACCTGGCTTTTTATCAAAGAGAAGTAAATTTCATTTTTTTTACCTGCAAGTCGGGTGTACGGAATTTTACGTAACCAATCAAAGCTCATGTTACAAGCTAGATTTTTTTCACTTTTGGGGAGAATTTCTCCACTTTCCAGCATTGGTCAAACAACTACATGTACCTTTCACTCCCTAATTCTAGACACAATTTTAAAACAATCTGCATTTTTTTTCTACCTCCCAACCCTTTTCAGTCATCTCTACAGGTGATAATCTTGCTTTAATGAGGTGAATTTTCAGTACTCCAACAGACAATTCTAATCAAGTGAGTTTATCACTTCTGTAAAGAAATATGAAAACTTGCAGAGATGACTGTAAAGAGTTGGGAGGTGGATAAAAATACAAATTGGCTACAGAATATGTCTAAAATTGGGGAGTGAAAAGTAGCTGATTGATCAATGCTGGAAAGTGGTGAAATTCTCCCCAAAAGTGCGCAACAAATCTTGCACAATAAATTGCACGTATTTTGCATATAGGATCTGTAGTGTTATGGTCAAGGACTAATATATAAAACCATAACGTGACAGATTTGCATCTAATAAATAACTAGCCTCAATATATGTACAACACAGGTAGTCTTTGTTAACTATTGACAGAATAATGATTATTCTCACAAAAAAAGTTCAGTGACCTTTCCTACAAATACCAGGCACCTGACCCATGGTCCAAACTAATTCAATATGGTTAAAATAAAATCTTTGACCAGAATTTCCCCTTCTATTTAAGCTCTTTACTTTTCCTAATCCTATGAAAACTTCATATTTTCATATGAACAGGTGAAATCACAATGAAAAGTGCGTCACTTGCATTTGGTCATACCCTCAACATGATACCGACTGATAGGTACACGTATTCCTTTTGTCAAAACCATGTGGTCTTTTCATGTCCTTCAAACAATTGATCAACAAACATGGACATGACACACTAGTTTTACGCTTACCTGATGTTATTTTGAATCACGTACTCTGTCTAAAATTAAAAAAGTAAAAATTTCGTTAATTAGCAATCCCACTTTCTGGTTTAGTTAAGTCGTTCATAAACCATTTAACGTTATGAATAAATCGTTCATATTCATTTCGGGCCAAAGTATCTATGATATGATATTTCTATATTTTCTAATAATTACCCTGAAGGGTGTGTCTACATAAAATCAAAACATATAAATATATTACTTTGACTTTTATTTTATGATGTAATAAATCTTAATTAGATGCCAATTCACCTAAATGTTTTTCAGTCAGAGACACCATATTCGCGGTCATAAAAAAAATCTTTGACATCATTTTTGCAAGGAAATATGTATTATTTATAATTCATCTGTTTAAATTAAATATTGCTTTTAGATTTTGTTCCTTTATTGTGTTTAAAATAATTTCTAAAATGCATCCTGCAATTCCACGAAACAGTCCATTAACCTTAAACTGAATATTGAACATGCTGAAGTATTAGTTTTTCAAAAAGCTTGCTAGATCTATAGAACATATAAGCACGATTTAAAAAAATAAGATGTTTCCGTCCTTTTTTTCAGTTGCTGAGGAGGGGTTCTTGATATTTCAATACCTTATATTTTTAAGACTTGAGAAGAAAAAAACATGGTGATTTTTTAAATCTTAAATTTATAAGTTTCTAGACGAAATATACCAGCGTGAAGCGTTGTACTTTCTATTTCCTCATTAATTTCAAAATAAAATTGATTTTTAAAAAAGTCGAAATCTTACTTTGGCCTTTAGCATAGCTTGACTAACTTCCGTCTAAATTGACACAATGATTATCTGTGCCTGAAAAAGGGGGGGGGGGGGTACACATGATGGTACATAGGATGTTTTGTTTTGAAAATTTGTTGTTCCAGAAGAGATAAAGTAATAAAAAATCTAGCTGCAGTTCTGTAGCTCTCCGAAAAAAATTATTGATAGACCGGTCTATCAATAATTTTTTTCGGAGAGTTTTTACTCCGACTTGTAACTGCGCATATTTTATTATTTTGTTTTATTTAAACATATTTTATTGAACACAATCAATGGGATTGGACACATGTTATAGAAACTTAGACTGTCCTCTCCAACACAAACAAAATAAATAAGAAATATATAAATATTTTATTTTCTTTCTTTCGTTCTTGTTCATTCATTCATTCATTCTTTTATTAATTAATTAATTCATTCATTCATTCATTCATTCATTCATTCATTCATTCATTCACTTACTCATTCTTTCTTTCTTTATTCTGCATATTATGTAAAGGCACATTTGATATATTGATAATTTTAAATGAGAAGGGAGATAGATTGCATTTGCGCGAAATAGAAGCCTGAAAAGTAGAGTTATCTCTCTTTGACTGTAAACAAGCGCAAAACGTATTTTTTCGCACCTGTCCGAAAAATTTGAAATTCTAAAAATAGATCGCCGCCATTGAGAGAGAGGGGTTGACGGTGTGTGTGCACGGTCAACTTGCTGTTGACATTTTCTTCCAGAAGCAAATTTTACCAAAGGTTAAAATTCAAAACTGAGCGATGGAATCGGAATTTCCAAATGAAGCTACAGTCGAAAATCACAACGAACATTCAAAAGACGACGATGAAGAGGTAAGCACGAAAGGTGTTTTCCCAAAATAAGTGTCTTTTAAAAATGTACCAAGCAGTGTATGGAGGACCATTTTTTAGTTGATAAACGTTGATGAAGAATTTACTTTATGAACTAGTTCTTTTGACACAGAGAGATCTTTTGAAAAAAAAAATGCGACTATGGCTAAAGTTTTCACAAATTATGAAGTTTACTTGAAAGTTGGAAATCGGTTGCAAAGTTGTTTACACAAGAGGCCATATATTATTTTTGACGCATTTTTTAAGTTTGTTATGTAACAGAATGGATAAAAAAAATATTCAAAGTATGTACGAGAATGTATAGAAATGGAGTAAATGACCAAAATCTGATTTATTTCCATGTAAATCACTTTCGCCTGAGCGACCCCCCTGTGGTCCTCATTTATAGCCCCTAACCATGACTAAGCCATGTGTCAAAATGTAGTTTTTAACACACATTGATTAACAAGAGATAGCAGCAAATTACAGATCAAGTCAACCTCAATAAAATGCCAAATTACTCTGACTTTTCATGTGAAATGGTGGTTTGATAGCAAAGGAAATTCAGCCAAAGTTAAAATTGTTCATATTCATTTACAAAATACAAAACAAAACTAGTTTTACTGGTTCAGTAAAACTAGGTACATTGGAGTAGGCAGTGGATAGAGCATTTGCACCAGAGGTGTGGAGTAAGGAGTTGATCCTAATCATGTTGCATGTTTGAATCCCACTGCTGGGATGTGGAGACCTGTCCATCACATGAGACTGCATGTATAAACTGAGGTCCCGCGTTTTCAGTAGGTGCTTGTTTGGAAAAGATCCCTCTCTGCTCAGTGGCTATATATGGTTGCCAAGTATAGCATTAGGTCTAAAATTTGCAGCCCTCAACCAGCAAATGGTGGCATTTTAATATGAGTGAAAAGTCTAATTTGGGTCTAAATCTGTAGAGCTACAGTCATGTTTTAGACTTAAGAATTTCATGAGAAAGATGCACTTTCCTCTTTTAAATTTGAAATTAGAAATTTTACATAAGGTGTATGGCTGCACAAAAATTTCCTGTTATTAATAGACGATTGAAAAAAAAAAAATCATGAAGCTTTCAACAATAGAATATTTTACCACAATATTTACATCTGAATATTAATATCAATTCATTCTAGCTGATTTTCAAATAAATGCATGCATCCATGTTATGTGAATTTTAAAACAGGTTATCAGTTTGAATAAACTGCATATGGAATTCAAATTTGTTATACCTGGTAACATGGAGATGAGTCACTTTTTTTTATATTATCTGATTAATGACTCTATTTATTTCATGCGTAGGTTTTTAAAATGGTTTTAATACTTGTTGCCAGTGTTAATATGTGATACATTTTATAAATTTCTTGAGCAAATATTAAACTTTTGTTGACTTTATTTGCTGCACAAGATATCCACAGCATTACAAAGAAAAATGATTTCTGCAATTTTAGACATGGAAATTATTTTGGCTCCAAATCATTATAGTAATGGATACTGTAGAATAAAACAAGAATGTTTGAGAGATACATGATCTTATTGAAATGGGAAGGAGTATGGAAATTACCTGTAATACACAGGAGTTTTGGATAACTGATTTTATACAATCTAGATTCCATTACTCTTAAAATTAATAATTATTATAGTTAAATTTTGGAATTTCTTAAAATATATGAAATTTGAAAGAGAGATTTAGAGAGAAAAAAAGCTTGCACTTATGTTGAATGAACAAATATGTTCTGCTTTAAATGTGCAATGCACTCTAAATATGATTCTCAGTAAATGAAATCCATTAAACCAGTTGGAATTCCCCACAGCTACAGTGCCAGGAATTGCTTCCTAATTGCTGCTGCTCCCATTCTATTGTTCTGGGAGATGAGAGTTGAATTCCAGCATTTGTAAAACCATCAGGAGGCAGAAATATACTGCATTTCCACCTGCTTAAAAAGTGCAATTGAATGTAGGAATATTTATCCTTTTTAATAGCTTTTTTTGAAGGGAATTTGGTTAAGGAAATATTAGCAAAGCCATTTTTGATTCAATTTTGATGACTGCATCAAAATATTTTTCTTAAAATCCTAAAATTATTTTTGACTCAATCAGACAAACAAATTTTAACATGCATAATAGTAGGATTGTATGCAGAGTTTCTTCTCACATTTGAAAATAGTAATAGTTTTTTCAGTATTTTAACTTGGAAGACATTACTTTAAAAGGGTAAAAATATTAAGTTGGATAATGCTTCTACAGGGTGTATTTTGTTGAAACAAGGTTGTCAATCGATTGATCTGATAGCTGATATTTTGAAACACATGATCAGGAAATTTTAAATCTGTCCTTGATAGGGAGTTATACAAAGAGGTTCACACTTCTGATTTGGAGAAATCTTCTTTTTCTCCTTGACATCACAGTAAAAACCTTAAATACATCATTATAAATCCTCTGCAATGTTGATTATTATCCATATCAAAGGGAGTAAACCATTCAAGTCAGATACCTGTGTATAAAGAAGAGAATTCTGCAAATAAATGTTATATGAATTGCAATGGAAATTTTAAGTGGGAGAATACTTTTAGACTATTTACATGTGGTGGAGTCTCAGAGAACTTTAAGAGCTGGTTTTGATGGTGCAATGGAGAGACTTTTTTTCCTACTTGATGCTTTGAACAAGACAGAACTTCAACTTTACTTGTCCGAAAAATTTCCAATAAAGATCTAATAGTTTCAGTTTGAAAATTAAAATAAAGTCCATTACACATGTGCTTGATTGATTCGTAATGTTATTGATAAATACAACAAACACATAAAACGAAATTTATTCTAGGCTTTCTGTCCTGACAATAACAATAACCTGTCGACATCAAACATAATCCACACTTCGGTTCATATCTTCCATGACTTTGGGTTTAAATCCTATTGAATATGAACTCAATATATAAAATATTATAATTTTTAAAAAGTTCTATAGCTTTTATATTAACTTTCTTTTAAATTAAAATGCTCTTGAACTAGCTTTAGACTTGTATTAACAGTAAGGAGCCCTGGCAATTGTTCAGAGGCATGGGTTCAAATCCTTATAAAAATAATTATAATTTTTAAAAAGTTCAATAAAATTTCTTATATAGAAATAGCTATAAACTGTAAGGAAATCAGAATCGCATTTTCAGATTTTCTGTACATATATTGGTGATCCCCACTTCACTTCCTGTCTAGTCGACATAAAGGGATGTGAGAATGAAAAATGCATTACGATTTTGTCCTCAGCCGCTATCAATGATAAAAGCCTTTTGCTGTTTCTGACTTGTTCAGCAATGCTGCTAACTGAAACATAAAAACGTTGGAGATTTTGTGACTAAATCTGTATGGATTTTGACATCTGCTGATTAAAAG